TGTGTGTGTGGCTGTGTGTGTATTGCTCTGTGTGTGTGGCTGTGTCCATGTCTGTGTCCGTGTGGCTGGTTGTGTTTTGGGGGGTGTGTGGGGCTGTGTCTCTGTCCGTGTGGCTGTGTGTGTGTGTATCGCTCTGTGTGTGTGGCTGTGTCCATGTCTGTGTGGCTGATGCACGTCCAGGATGCATCTCCCTGGGTCTAGGTGAGCCAGGGCGCAAGACCCCCGATGTCCCTCTGCTCTCCTTACATTATCCAATGTCCCACGCTGAGGCTCCGGCCTCCCCCAGCCCTGCAGCCAGAGAGGGGATGGGATAGAGCCCCTGGCTAGCCCCTGCTTAGGGGGGCCAAGCAGCCGGCCCCAGAGCCCCTGCTGACTCAATGCGTGATCTGAACGCAGAGCTCCCAGGGGGCAACCAAGCCAGACCACACCCGGCCCCCCCCCACCGAGGCCTGCCTTACCGCTGCCCTAACGACACCGCTCCCGCTGCTGCTCTGGGCACCGTGGGGGCTCCAGCCTGGCAGGGCGCACCGAGAGGAGCCGCACACAGCCCAGCAGGCATGTCCTGTGCATGCCCCCCCACTTCCAGCTCCTTAATGCCCTTCACTACAGCCTCCGAGCATCCCCCGCCCCCCACCTCCCTCCACTGAGCAGGCTCAGCCAAGCAGGCCAAGTGGTGGAGCAGTTGTAGCGTGTGTTAACAGTGAGACCCGTCACGCTCCAGTCACTAGTGTCCAGAGCTCTTATTTCCACTCGAGCCTCCAGAGGGGAGAGGGAAAAATGCATCAAGCCACTGCATGGCTCCACTTAAACTGGGCGTCCACTGGTCCCGGAGTGGGGAATCCCCAGGGGACACGATTACCATGGTGCATCCTAGCAGCCATGTTCCTTCATCCAAGGATGCGGGCGGACGTCTAAGGGCTGGTGCAGCCCCGGGTGAGCAGCCCTGGCTGGGAGAGCAGCCCGACGCTATTGCAACGCTCAGCTCTTGCATTCAGTGTACTTAGAGGGGGCAGCGGTGTATGGCTGGGAGCTACAGCGCTGTCGCTTTCCAAGGGGAGAGAACCACGCTGCTTTACAAGCTGGCAGGTTCTCGGGGCCAGGAGATCGTGTCATGGGGAACTGCAAAGTCCTGAGTGTGCAGCCTGCAGCTGGAAGCAACCCGGCCCCCGGCTGCTTGGGACGCACTCCAGGGCTCGGTGTCTTTAGCAGAGAGAAAGGGAGAGACACTTCCCTGTACCTGTGGGTCTGGGCAGCTGAGGAATTCCTTTCCATTATGGGGGAGGGGGGATAGTTAGATGTAAGGCTACCCTGGCTGATCAGCCAGACCCCTGGGCCCCTGAAATCTCTCCGGCTGAACGTCCACCTGAATTCATCCTGCCAGGGAAGCTTGAGTGTGCAAGCGTATGTGCACGCGTAGGAGGCTGTGCGTGCCTACAGTGTGGGCACGTCTATGTGTGCAGCGACTTGGCACGCTTGCATGTGAGGGGGCATAACTGCGGGGATGAGTCACTAAGGCTGTGTCTGTGGAATTGACACACGCCTTGCCCTGCGCAGGCGCTTAGCTTAGTGAAACGTTTTGCCGCAGAAAGGGAAGCGTAAATGCCGCTTTGTGGGCAGGAGCCGCCCGGGGGGGCTGGAAGTATTCGGCCAGCAGTGCTCACAACCAGCATTCACACGCGCTGACCTTTGCGACGGGGCTGGGTTAACACAACCTCGCCGCCGAATGCTGCGTTGTAGAGACGCAGCCTCAGTTTCCCCATTTGGGAACAGGAAGAAATCCACCTCCTTTTGGGGAGGGCAGGCACCTGCATGGTCCGTGCATGTGACAAAAGGGAGAGGTTGTTCCTTGCCCCTAGGAAACCCGACAGCCAGAGGGGTCCCTCTTTCAGGTCTAATGAGTGCTGCGAATTGTGCCAGGGGTTAGCTGGAAGGAGGCAGTGAAAGCTTAGCTCGGACAGGCCCCAGGGTTAGAGAGGGGCTGAGCGCTGCGGAGGGAGGCGTGACTGGCAATGGCAAGCAAGCGGGTGGGGGGAGCTGGGTGCGGTGGGGGCAATCGATCCTGGGGGAGAGGGGGTGGGGAAGGGAGTCACTGTCCTGGGGGCGAGGGACAGAGGAGTTGTTGAAAAGCCTGTTACAAGCCGGGCGGCAAACAGGCCAGAGTCTCTGTGTGGAGAGGCTGGTTGCGGGGTGTTGGTTGTGGAGGGCTGGGGGACTGACTGTGAGGCGACTGACACACAATCGGTTTTGAGGGTTCAAGTCCAGGGAAGGAGGGGGGCGGGATTTTCTCCTCAGGACACCGGTTCTGAGCAGGGTGGGCAGAGCGGCTTTGGACTGGGAGAGTCCCAATCCCGGCGCTGGGGAGGGGGGTCCCGTGAGACGGCCTCTCTACTGAGAATCCCTGCTCCAACCTGCCCAGAATCCTGCCTCGGGGGTGGGCGAGAGCGCAGGGGCAGCGCGGTGCTGGCCACGGGGCGCTCGCATCATGCCCACTGCTCCCCAGCTGACGCCCCGAGCGCCAGTCTCCTCAGCGCATGCAGTCAATGAAGAAAACTCTGCGCACTTACCCTGCTGTGCTTTTATCTGAGGCAACACGTTCTGTAAAAGTGCTAACGACTTCCTATGGTATTCTGCTTGCACCTCTATCAGCTGGGGGAAAGACAAGGGACAGATGTTACAGCCTGCCCTAGGAACCCCGGTGCGGTGCGGGGGAGCGGGGGTCTCTGTTAATTCAGCGAGGCATCGTGCAAGAGGGAAGGACGAAGACAGAACAGCCCCATCCCCACTGGCACTTACCGTTTGAAAGTAGTTTGCATAGTCGATTTCTTTGGCCACGAAATTGTACATGTCAGCCGAGAGCTGGTCCTGTGGAGAGCACAGAATTAGCAAGAAGTAAATCACCCCGGCTCAAACCCGCCTGAGCAGCAGCTGCAATCGTTTACAGGTGGATCCGGTTTGCCTGCCGGCACACAGGGTCAGAGATGCTTGCAGGATTGCACCGCGTTTGCAGGGCTACCGGGAAGCGGTGCAAACCTCACAGAGCATGCGAATCAAGCGCGGGATATTTAAATCCCGGGCTTGATTTGCAACTTCAGGGTGCTTCATTTGCTTCCCTACTTCGAAGACATACCCAACCACCCACAACCCTTGCCAAGCAGCTCTCTTTGCCCTAACATTCGGATCTCCCCCTTTCCTGCACCAACCCAGGTATCCCATCGCTTGTGGAGCTGCAGGAAGGCTCCCGGGCCAGTAAAGGCTCCAGCCTTCCAGGGTCCTTTACCCCCATGCTCCTGAACAAAATCTGCCAAGCTGTTTCCCAACACGACTTGCAACTGTTCTTTCTTTCCAGATATTTGCCTGTCTCTGGACATAACTCTTCACTCGAGCAGGCAATCAGCCTGAGTTCTGAGTCCCAGTAACAGAACGTATCCGTAAATTAAAAGTTCCTTCTGGAGCTCATGAACCGTGGAGAACGAGCCCTGCCCTGTAGAGATCAAGGCTCAGAGGATCTAGGTGGCAGGGTGGGTAACTCTTCCCCTCTGAAGATCTGGGTTCACACCCAACACTGACCACACCTGGAGGTCTGGGGGCTTTTTGAAAGGTCCGAGGGGGAACTGTCTCTCCCTACCCCCTGCCACCTCTGTCCACATTCTGGAGCCATTGCCCTGTCTGGCGCAACCGCGCGCAAGCGCTCAGCAGAGATCTTGGCGTGGGTGAATCTGCAGAAGCCCAGGCTGGAGGTGGGCTGTGGACCCAGTCCGGGTGCACCAGCTGGGTGGTGAGGCAGGGGCAGGCCTGGAAAAGCAGAGGGGGTGCAGGTGAGGATTCCTGGGGGGAGGTGGGAAGTTTTAATTGCCCCTGCTCAGACGGTCCCAGGCTAGGACTGGTGGCAGGATTCACGCCTACTTATTTGTGCTGTATTTTTAAAAAGGCAAAAGATCCCATGAGGTTTTATTTCTCTAGCCTCCCCGCCCCCCGAATGACCCTCACCACTGACCTCCCACGGGCCCGCCGTCCCAGGACAAGCAAGAGGAGGCAACTGCTCAGGACTCCGCTGGAGGGAACAGTCCTCCGCCCACGCCCTGCGCAGGGTTCGGCCAATGCCCAGGTGTGATCTCAGCTACTGCGGAGAGCCCTTCTTTACCAAGCCCGGGGAGAGTTACGCCAGCACCGCGCTACCGCCGCAGTGTGCAGAAAGGAGATGCTTCTCCCCAACCGATGCTCACGACGAGCACGAGGGAAAGCAGGGCGACCGGCCAGTTACCTCAGGTGCCTGCACATGGACGCAAGAGGCCCGGGAACAAGCAGGAAGAACTGGACGCCCTGGCGCAGGCAAGGAACCGTGCTGTGATTGGAACCGAGAGGCGGTGGGACCGAGCACTGCCGGGGAAGGGGACACCCGCTCTGGAGGGATGGAGGCGGGGGGGACAGGCGGGGGCGTTGCGCTGCATGTCAGAGAGCAGCTCCCAGCTCCAGTGGGAAACCGGAGATAAGCCTGGGAGAGTCTTTGGGTTGAGCAAGAGGCGGGAGCAACAAGGGTGCTGGCGTGGGGGGGGTCTGCTCTAGAGCAAGAGGCACACGAGGCTTTTCTACCCAAATCCAGGGGGCTGGGCCTAATGCACCCGAGGGGGCTGAGGGAATTGGCTGATGTGATTGCAGAGCCATTGGCCATTGTCTTTGAAAACCCCAGGCGGTCGGGGAAGGTCCATCCTGGATGATGTAAAAAGGCAAATTTAGCGCCCATCTCTAAAAAACGGGAAGAAGGAGAATCTGGGAAATGGCACTGCCGCTCTTGGCACTGGGGAGGCCACATCTGGAGCGCTGCATCATTTTGGGGGGCCCCATTACAGAAAGGATGTGAACAAACGGGAGAGAGTCCAGTGAAGGGCAACAAAAACGACGAGGGGGCTGGAGCACACGGCTTAGGAGAGGCTGAGGGATTTGGGCGTCTTTAGTCTGCAGAAGAGACAAGTGAGGAGGGATCTGAGAGAAGCCTTCAACTTCCTGAAGGGGGGTTCCCAAGAGGCTGTTCTCAGTGGGGGCAGAACGAGGAGCAATGGGCTCAAGTTACGGTTGGAGAGGTCCAGGTTGGATATTAGGAAAAACTGTTTCCCTAGGAGGGTGGGAAGCCCTGGGCTGGGTTCCCTAGGGAGGCAGTGGAATTGCCATTCCTAGAGGTTTTTAAGTCTCGGCTTGACACAGCCCCGGCCGGATTGAGTTGGGTTGGTCCTGCTTTGGGCAGGGGGCTGGACTCGATGGCTCCTGAGGGCTCTTCTAGCCTTAGTCTCTGATTTCCTGGATGACTTTGTGTCTACGCAGCCACGTGCCCGACCTTCCAGCTTCAGGCCGGGTATATAGAACTCCCTACAGAAATCAGTCAGGAGTGCAGACATGAATATGAGCCCGGGCTTGGAACCAGAGGAGGCGAGGGCATGCAACACTATCAAGCATTTCTGGGCGTGTGCAAGAGATCACTGGGAACAGCCCTGTGTGTCTGTACTGTCCCCGCAGCTCCCCCCGACCCACACGAAGCTCGGTGCAAGGATGGCCAGACGAACAGGGTCAGACCGACAGAAAAGCGTCATTCCTCTGCAACAGACAAAGCGCCGCAACGTCCGTTGCTTTCGCACGTTCGGTGGTGAAACGCTCGCACCCTGATCGCACTAACACTCTTCACTTTCCATCAGAACCATCCCACCCGTCTCAAAGGCTTCTCGGGGCAGGGAAGTTAAACACAGGGCTGAGTGTTTGCAGGAGCGAGGCCAGGGCCACTGCAATGCCGAAATCCATGTTTAATGCACAATGATATTGACCGAGGATTCCAGAATCCTAGAACCAGAAGGGACTCGAGAGGTCATCAGGTCCAGTCCCCTGCCCTCACGGCAGGACCAAGCACCGTCTAGACCATCCCTGACAGGGTCTGTCCAACCTGCTCTTAAACATCTCCAGGGATGGGGATTCCACAGCCCCCCAGGAAATTTATCCCAGTGTTTAACCCCCCTGATAGGAAGTTTTTCCTAATGTCCAACCTAAACCTCCCTTGCTGCAATTCAAGCCCATGGCTGCTTGTTCTAATTTAGCTCCTCCCCGGTACAATGCTGAGGCGGAGGGAGGAGAAGCAGATCACTGACTATTTAAAGCTTTTCAAGAGACACCAACTTTCGAATGGATCTAGCCACAGCCAGACATGACAAATTCGGGTTTCGTGTTGAGAGGAGCAGGACAATCTATGCCAGGGGCGAGCCCCCGGCAGGCCACTGCCACTGTACCTCCTTGCACCTCCGCAGGTACCGGCGATCACCGCTCCCACTGGGATCCCTTTTCCCGGACAATGGGCGTGGGGGGAAGCGGTGTGGACTGGGACACCTCTTTCCATTGGCTGGGAATGGTGACCCATGGCATGGCGATCGCTGGGATCTGCAGAGGCGCAGGGAAATATAGCAGGGGGGACCACCAAGGGCTAACCCTAGTGGCCCAGATCCGGCTTGTGGGCCGGTGTTTGCCCACCCTTGGTCTATGCCAGTGTCAGTCGTGATACTCTGCCCTCAACAACTGACTTGATATGGAATCACATTAAGTTACTCTACACAACAGGAGCTTCGGAGAAGAAGCGGAATGGACCCAGGCCCAAAGACCATGGCTACAAAGCTGCTGGTCCAGCACAGCAAACAGTTTTGAATGGACAGCGGCTGATCAGGTAAATGCCGCATGTTCCCTGAGTATCTGCTTTGTTCTCTCTCTGCTTTGCTATTTTTGTCTGAGGGGTTCATTAAATATACACAGCCCGTTACGGCTCACACCGGTAGCGGACGGAACGCATGCAGGAAGGGCACCTCTTCCCTGGAGCTGGAACGTACAATGTCTAGCTCAAGCAGACAGACCCACACTATTCCTGGTTGAGGCAGTGTACTAAGAACAGGCGCGTAGCCGTGGCAATACGAGGGGCTAGCCATCGGCATAAGTAACGAGGGTCTTGGACAGGACTGTGTCCTCCTGCCTGTCATGCAATCACAGCCACATTTATTTCAGAGTTCAGGCGGAAATTTCACCTGCCGCGCAAAGCATGGACATACCTGTGACGTAGTGGGGGGTATCTTACTGGTTGCTATGCTGGGGCTGTGGGTGACCCCCACTGGCTGCTGTCTGTAGCACAGCCCAGCAGGACAGGGGATGAGTCACTAGGCAAGGGTCTCTCAACCTGTTGGACCAGCTACCCCCCAGGGAGAGAAACAAAGCAAAGTGGAATGCTGCCCCTGGCTGGAGGCAGGGCTGGAAGAGGGTTAGTTAGTTTCTGGCTGGGATCATGGAGGAGACAGCCTAGGGAAAGGGGCTGGGATTTAGTTTGCCCAGTCTCCCCCATCTCAAGGGGGGCTGAGGCATCCTAGCCCCAGTTCCTGTAACCAGATTGCATCTGTGCTGTGCTGTATCTTGGAGGAGCAATAAACTCCCTCTATTCTACTGGGTGGTGGAGTCTGTTTGTGCCATTACAGGGGTGCAGGAGATGGACAAACCCGACGCGCCGTCACAATACCGAAAGACTCGCTGTAGGTTGTAAGATCCAGTGTTGTAACCGTCTTAATCCCAGGGGGTTAGACAATCAAGATGGGCGAGGGAATATCTTTTATTCGGCCAACTTCTGTTCAAGTTTACAGAGCTCTATAAGCCACCTGTGCTGGTCCAGCAAAAGATCTTCCCTCCCTAGCTTGTCTCTCCTACTTTGTAGTGTGAGTTCAGGGGATGAAATACAACGACACAACCTCCAGATTTCTATTATGTAACACAACTGCAAGACAGGACAAGACACAGCTATGGGTCTGCATTGACAGACTGCCACATGACCCGCATTTATAACTTGGGTGCACATTTCTCAAGCTGCCACACTTTTACAGATGGGGGGAGGCGGGGAGTGGGCCACCCCCAGCCATGTTTGTCAACATTTGATATTGGCGGCATTCATCACAAAAATCTTTAAAACATTTTGACCGGCTCTAATTCATGCAAATGACTCGGACTCCAAAAAGGTATTTCAGAATTGGGAAAGGTGAAGAGAAGAGTCACAAAACCAAATCAAGGGTCTGACAAAGCTGCCCTACGACAAGAGAGGAAAAAGACGGGACTCTTCAGCTTGGAGAAGAGAGGCCCAAGGAGGATGCAGAATCGTGAGCGACGTGGAGAAAGTGGCAAAGGAAAGGGTATTTATTCCTTCCCATAACACAAGAGCCAGGAGTCATCCGAGGCAACTAGTTTAACACAAACATAAGGAAGTGCCTCTTCACACAACGCACAATTTAACTGTGGAACTTGTCAGGGCGTGTTGTGAAGGCCAAACCTGTCACTGGGTTCAAAGAAGAACTCGGTAAGTTTGAGCGGGACAGGTCCCTCCACGGCTCTCAGCCCAGGCAGCCAGGCATGCAACCCCACGCTCTGGGGGAGCCTCGCCCCTGACTGCTCGAGAATTGCCCTGTTCTCCTGGTTCCTTCTGAAGCACCCGGCATCAGCCGCTCTTGCAAGACAGGAGACTAGGCTGGAAGGAACTTCGGACTGTCCCCCCTTTGGCTGTTCCTTCCTAGCCGCATGTTAGCCTGGGGTGGAATTCCTGAACCCATGCAGCCCTCTCTATAAAGCCATGCCAGGTCGTGCCCGAGCAGGCAGGGGATAGATTTTCAGGTGGGACGAAGCACTTTTGAAAATCTAGCTCACGTATCCAAGTGGATGCTTTGAAATCTTGAGCAGAAGGCAAGCGAGAAGCATCCACCCCCCAGCTCTTCCATAGCCCCCTTCATCGGCTGGTGACAGAGCAATTTATGAAGGATGTCAGTATCGGTATCCGCCTTGTACAGACCGACACAGGCATGGAGAGCCAAAGGGACGTGTCCAAAGTCACCCTGCAGGCCTCCAGCAGAGCCAGGAATAGAACTCCGGTTCTCTAGGGCTCTCCCACTAGGCAACACTGCCTTCCCTTGTACATCAGTACATTAGGGTTCACCACACAGACCATCCATGCTGAATTTGCCACAGTCCTCTAGGATGGAGGAGACCTGGAAGAGTTTGCTTCCCGTCCCCAAACACAACAGCCAGATGGAGCTGGGGTGGGGGAGGGAGGAGACACCCTCCCTGCAGTCACCGGAACGCTGACTCTTGTCAAGCGAACAAGCTCAGGGGAAAGGGCTGGTTTCCGCTGGTGGTTCAGACGCCGACATACACTGCTCAAGGTTCACAAGCCAACACCCCCGGAGCCTGCTCACTGCCAGGGCGCAACGCAGGAGGCCTGAAGCTGCTCTCCGGCTCCGAGAGTCGTTAGCTCAGAGCTTCCCCCGCCTATGGGAGACGAGGGGCAGGGAGAGCCCACCCCAAGCTGTGTGAGGACCGAGGCAGGGGCTTCGAGAGCTGGGGCGCCCTCGGGCTGTGCGGGAGGCAGGGGGAACGTGCTGGGAGCGGGGGTCTCACCGGGTGACTGAGGAGCTGTGGAGAGAGACAGGTCTCCTCTCCCTGCATACCTGGCACAGGGTGAGGAGTCCTGGCAGGGCTGGAGGAGGGAGCCGGAGGGAAGAGCTGCTGACGCTGCCTGTTGGGCATGCCGGGACTCCTGGGAGCAGCAGGCCTCCCTCCGCACTGCTCACCCAGACTTAAGCTCCGCCTGCCTGCAACTCCACCCCCAATTTCCCAGCCTGTAGAACCCCTCTCCGGGCGAGACACCGGCCCACGGACAGGCCGGGAGATCAGACACAGCGAGAGGTACCCTGCAAATCTCCACTCTGTTCGCCGCCTCCTCCATCTCTTCCCTGAGAGTGTCCACTTTGGAGCCCGACGGCTGCAGGTTGCTCGACAAACCGGACGACTTCGCCGACTGTTGCCACCTGTGGAGACGCAAGGGGGCTGGAGTCAGCGGCAGAGGGCAGAGCTCCTGGGGCAAGGGGACGACCGCGTGGGCTGATGGGCAACCCAATCTTCACTGCCCAGGACGGGCCGCGGAGACGACAGGCCCCTGCCTGCGAGACGCCACCGTGAGCTGATCAGGAGCCGCCCTGCTGCACTCAAAAGCCAGGCGGCTCCTCTCTGCTCTAGGACGTGCCAAGCGGGCCTGGCATGCCGTCAGTCAACAGGCCGACTGTTCTCCACCCCACCAGCGACTGGGTGAGTTAATTCCCAAGGGAACCGTGCGAATGCTGCGGCCCAGAGTCCGGGCTCAGCCAGCCTGGAAGCACAAGCCCATGCGCAAGGCCTGCATTCTTTGTTACATGAGGCTGTTCAGAAATGCCTGTTGTTTACACCCAGTTTGGTCTCCCCATACCAGAGACCTGGTCTCCTCCTTATTCCTCACTCCCCCCGCCTGTGTACCACCTGCAAACGTTACCACAAACACCTGTATGTTTTCCTGCACGGCCTCACCTGAAACGTTAAATTGCGGAGGGCCAAGAACTGATCATCACTAGACCGCGATCCCCCACTTACTGTTACATTTGGAGACGCGCCAGCCAGCCAGGTTTCGATCCGTGCAATGGGCCACGCTCTAGGTTCTCCATCAAAATGCCACAGAGTACCAAGTCCAATGCCACACGTGTCTGGGGCTGGGGCTGGACTATGGGCACTACAGTGGCCCAGCATGGCGTGGTGGTTATGCCACTGTTGCGGTGTAGTGCAGGCACCTCTGCGGTGACAGCCGGGGGTTCTCCCGCTGTAGGGAAGGGACTGCTCTGAGCAGTAGTAGCTAGGCTGGCAGGCACGTTCTTCCACTGAGCCTGCACCCTGCGGCTTCCATCAGCACAGCTGTGGCCTTCCCAGCAACATCGCCGCACTGCTCAGCCGCCTTACGTCTCGGCACTATTGTCAAGGGCACGAGTCTGGCGGGGGGTCGCGGATTCCAGCACTTCCAGGGACTTCTTCACGTGCTGGAAAGAGGAGGCTTTCACAAACCAATCTGCACGTCTTCCGGCAGGCCCCTGAACAGAGCCCCCTCTCCAGCCTGCTCACGAACAGACGCACACAGGAAGTGCTAAGGGTCACGGAAAGCCTGGGTGGCTTTGCCATGTGCCTAGCGCACCCATCAGCAACAGCCTGCCCGAAAGGGGGACAATCAACCGCAGCTGCGTGCGCTTAACAACAGCAGGCCTGTGCAAGCCGCCCTGTTGTGAGCAAGACCCGAGAAGTCATTCTGCTGCTCTGCTCTGCGCTGATTAGGCCTCAGTTGGAGGACTGTGTTCAGATCTGGGCATCGCATTTCAGGAAAGAGGTGGAGAAATTGGAAAAGGTCCAGAGAAGAGCAAAACAAAACTGATGAAAGGTCGAGAGAACATGAGCTAGGAGGCAAGACTGAAAGAATTGGGCTTGTTTGGTTTAGAAAAGAGAAGATGGAGAAGGGACGTGAGAGCAGTTTTCAAGTACCTAAAAGGGTGTTACAAAGAGGAGGGAGAAAAATTGTTCTCCTTGGCCTCTGAGGACAGGACAAGAAGCAATGGACTTAAACTGCAGCAAGATTGGCTATTAGGAAAAACTGTCAGGGTGGTGAAACACTGGAATAAATTGCCCAGGGAGGTTGTGGAATCTCCATCTCTGGGGATATTTAAGAGCCAGTTGGACAGACACCTGTCAGGGATGGTCTAGACGGTGCTTGGTCCTGCCGAGAGGGCAGGGGACTGGATTTGATGACCTCTCGAGGTCCCTTCCAGTTCTATGAATTCTATGAATCTAGGGGAGGAGTTTTTAACAAACAGGATTTGTATGCGGGTAGCATCTTTTTAAAACCCAGCCACATCCAATCTCTCCCATGCCCGGCTCTTTTTATTTAAAACAAAATGTTAAAAAAAAAACATCCAGACTTGGGCAAGCTTGACTCAAGCTCACGTAAGGAAGCGGGCTCTGCCAAGAAAGCCCAGGCCACTAGTTATCTATTTGCTCGCCTCTCAGACCAGGCGCCCGGGGGCGGGGCCACGGCTGCGCCACGCGCCCATGAACAGGACCGCCTGCATGCCCGGGGCTGGCACCGCTCATGCGCTGCATGCCTGGTCTCGGGCTGGCCCGGATCACTCGGCGGGCGCACATAAATGCCCTGGCGGGTGCCATGGCGCCCGCAGGCACCGCGCTGGGGCCACTGCTCTAAGACACTGCCGGACTGTTCATTGGGTTCAGAGTGAGGCAACACACGTTTCCGGTCAGATTCCAACCTCCTGATGCTGGGTTTGTGAGGGACCTTGCTGGCCCAGCCACACCTCTGGCTGCGCTCGCTACGTCTTAGACTCCGGCCACTGTACCAGAGCGTGGCTGTTTTGTGATGGATTCCCTGCCGAATCCACCCGTCCAAGGCTTCACCCCCAGGGAGAAAAAAGAACCAGACCTGCTCCACAGGCAGCCTGTCCCACGTGGAGGAGTGTGCACAAGGAGCGGCCTCCGTGTGTTTTTCAGGCGGAAGGTGAAATGCTGGTCAGTGTTTAAGGTGACCCTCGGGACGTGCGACAGACTCTGGACTGCTGCTGCCATTCGCCGGGGGAGGCCGACAGCCCTGCCAGGCCCGGGTGGAAGTTAGAAGATTGGCGGGGCAGGAGAGCTGGGCCCGGCGAGCGCACTGGAATGAAGCATGGAATTCTGACTACAACGCCACCGTCGCGCCTGGGCTACGCACTGAGCTGGAGCACACAGAGAAACGAGCACGAACTCCTTCATCCCGCTGGAAACCCAGAACTCTCTGGTCCCCGGGCAAGTGGAGCCCCCGACACCGTGCTGCCCCGGGGACTTCTTCAGACGGGAAATCCAAACCCGGCTGCATGGGAAACGCGGAGCCGGGCTGATGGGCTGGGTTCAGGCTGGCTCCGATCCATCCAACGGCACAGAACTGAGCGGCTGATGCGTCCTGACGGCTGCTGTTCACTCTGGCGGCCCAGATAGGACGAAGCCGTGAGTCTCTGTCCGCTGACACCTCACCGAATCCGCCATCGGCCTGGCACCAAGTGAGGCATCGTCTTGTGCATCAGCTGATGGGCCCAGGAGGGGGAGGGAGACACAGACAAACCCCTGGTAACTGTGAGCTGAGGCCGGGGATGTGCTGGCTGGAATATACCTGCGGAGCTGTCCATCCACTGCCTGGAAATCAGCTGTAAACCACTCACAAACCAGAGGGGGTTAAGGCTCCCTCCCCCAAAGGCATGGCAAACCGGCCGTGCAGCAACGCCCGCTGCAGGGAGACCAGCCCAGACCACGCTCCCTACCTTGTTCGTGAGGAATCCATGTCTAGGACGAGCTTTGCTAAGTGCTTCCTCTGCTTCTGGATATTCGGGATTTCGACCTGCAGCGCAGAGGGAAACACCAGGGATGACGCGCCGGCTGCAGCGGGTCACCCCCCAGGACTTGCGCCCCCGGCCCCATGGAGCACCGGCACCTGGCCACACGGGGAGCCCCACGCTGCCCCCACCCCAATGGGCACAGGCGGACGGCTGCCCCCATTGGGAAAGGGGACAGTCACATCAGAGCGAAGGAGGTTCCCCTAGTCCCTGTTTGCGGGAAAGGCTTTGCAAGGGGGCAGCCCCGATGCACGTTGAATCCGGGGCATCTTCGCACGCGCCTGCCCACCCGGCAGGAGGCTAAAGCTACAGGAGCAGCCCAGACGGCCCGGGCGGCAGAGCACGGGGGCAGGTGCCCTGAGAGAACAATGACAAACAAAGCTCATGCAATAAGGAGGTTCCCCTAGTCCCTGTTTGCGGGAAAGGCTTTGCAAGGGGGCAGCCCCGATGCACGTTGAATCCGGGGCATCTTCGCACGCGCCTGCCCACCCGGCAGGAGGCTAAAGCTACAGGAGCAGCCCAGACGGCCCGGGCGGCAGAGCACGGGGGCAGGTGCCCTGAGAGAACAATGACAAACAAAGCTCATGCAATATGGCCAGAGCTCTGCACGTCCCAGGCTCAGGCTGCAAGGAAGAGCCGGGGAGCCCAGATCCCGCGTCACCAAAGCTCTTGGGAGAATACGCCGCTAGCCGGGAGTCCCAGCCCCGGGCACAAGGGAGCCCTACGAGTGGCCGGGAAAACGCTAAGAGAATGGGGGGAATAGCTAGGGAAGGGACACAGACCAAGACAATCAGACGTGGGCTCTCTACAGACCAGCGGGTGCCTACGTCTGGAGTGGGGGGCGGGTGGGCGGCAGGTTTTCACGTGGAAGATCCAGTTATAAAGGGGACCCAAGGGTGTCTCGTCCGGCGCAGGAGTTGTCACCCACGTCAGCCCCTACTTAGCCAGGCCACCTCCTACCTGCACCCGGTAGCTGCAGCCCCCACCTGGCACCACAGGCCACCCGGGTAGGGAGGGGGAAAGGGGAAGAGCAGGGAGCCAAGGAGGGAGGGGGGAAGGAGTGAGTGGGGATGGGGCATCAGGGAAGAGGCAGAACGGGCCGGTGTTTGGGGGAGAGGGTCGGGGAAGGCCAGATTTCCACCCACCAGCTGGAGCGCCCGGTTTTTAAACACTAGCGCTGCTTGAACAGCGCACGGTCGCCGCCGCGCCCGGCACCCCGATCCCGCTCACCTCGGCCAGCACAAAGAGGGGCTCAATCACGTCCCGCTCCACTTCCAGCTCGAAGCTGGTGAGCTCCTGGGCCAGCTTGTCCTCCGCCTCACCGCAGAGTTTGAGCATCTTCCTGCGGTGGGACAGAGACGGGGCGTGAAAACCCAGAGCCTAGGCTGGGGTGTTAACCCACCCCCCGGGGCTGGACTAGCCTGCAGACAAAGGCATGGAGGGGGCAGCAGGGTGAGAGCCAGCCTTGTGCCACAGGCCTCAGCCAGCTCTGAGGCAGCGATGCCTAGTGGGAGGGGCTGCCATCCATGGGCTGTTGTGGAGATGGTTCAGGGTGGCCCAGAGGGCCCGTCTCCAACAGGAGTCGCTGGGGTTGTGGGGGGGGGAAGCCACCCTGTGTTATTGGGGTTCAGGGGCTGGGCGGGATGCAGCACCCCTCAAGAAAGGCTGTAGAGAAACTCAGGGCGTACCATGCCCTGTCAGGGGGCTCGGCCTCCACTCTCCTCTGCATGTGATTGTGGGGGGGGAGAGGGAAGAGCTGCGGCCACCCAGGTTTCTGGGACGTGGTCTCCCCTTTGAGGCCTGCTGGGGGAGCAGAGCCCAGCCACGCACGGCGTCCCTCTGCGCCAGCCCCCACCCAGGGCACCCGGGGACTGGACGGGCAGGGAGCAGATAGCCTGGGGGCGCTGCCCCCCCTTCAACCCCCAGCCTGGGGAGCTGCCTGCAGGGCTGGCATTTCACACCCTCTTGGCACGACTGTCGGCCACCAGCCCAGCCGCCAGGCCAGGGC